GGTGGGCCTAACTTTTGTCCAATACTTCCTACTTTTCAACGAGGTTTGTTAGATCGTTTCTTTTTTTTTTCCAAAAAAAAAAAAAAAAAAAGGACTTTCATCTTTGTTTTTGCCTTTTGGGGGGAAAAAAAAAGTAGGAGATGCTCATAAAGGTTGAAGATCATGTTTTGATCATTAATATTCAGTAACCTTGTCACTTCCTTGAACTTTAATGAGAGCTCGTGATATTAGCCCAATTGGGTCTTTTTTAAGCTCAATTTGGACCTCGCATTTGGGTCTTTTTTGAACTGAGTTTCCTTACTCTTTTGTTTTCGTCTTCATTTTCTGTTGTTGGAAACAAAGAGCAAAAAGGAAATGTTCTTGTACGATAATCACATATGTGGCAGTATATTAAAAGAGTGAGACCACGTTCTTTATCAATTTGGAGCACTGGTATTCCTCCTCATTGATAATGCATCACGTCATATGTAGCATTAGAATAAAATTATTAAATTAGAAAAATCTATTATCGTCAGGTCTCATATTGTTATGTGACAGTTTTGATGCATTTAAACATACGCAGTGTTGTATTGTCAATCATAATTAATATTCTTTTAATTGTCAATCATAATAAATATTCTTTTAATTATTTTTTTATTACGTGACAATTTATATAGTGATGTATCATCAGATGAATTGGAGTGCTCAAAGTAATTGCAAACCACAAAAAGAAGAATTTCTTACTTGAACGTATTGTCTTTTTTGGTATAGAATGGATCTGTCAATGGAGCAGATAACATGTTATGAAAAAGATCTCCCAGTAGAGACCGGACGTTTTGTCAAAATATATATATGTGTGCAATACATGCACTAATATACACTCTTTATTAACTCTAAATAAATCCAACGTCTACCTCACAAACACCCAGTACAAAGTTATGTACAAGCACATGCAATATCTCACTTTCAAAACTTATAAACTATCAAACAATTATGGTAATCTCCAATTTTTGATATCAATATGTATTAAATGTATGTACTTGTTATGATATATACGCCATCCCACTAAATCTCATCCCTTTCGCTAACCAGAAAGCTCCATATCCTCCAAAATTTCCTCTACTAAATCTCCCATAATTAGACTTTCCATCTCTCTTCCTATGCTTCTAACTTCATCGTCCATCAGTCCAGTCCAAGGGGTCAATCTCAGGTCCCACGCCACCATTCCGTCGAGAGAGAAATTCGATCTATCAGTGGGAGAGTACAAGTGTTCACATATAATCTCCCAAACACACTTCAACAATTTCTTTCCCTGTAAAGTTGGAAAACCTGAGGAGGCACTGATTGAGTTTCTTTTCAACTTGGACGCTGTTGACTTGGCCTCCGAAGGTGGTCCAAGAACAGTTGAAAGTGCTTCATTTAACAGATCAAGTAACAGCTTGTGATCTACCTTCTTCTCCGTCTGGTCCTTGGCCAATTTTTTATAAGATTCTTCCACTTCTTCAAACACTGATGTGCTGATAGGCTTTGAAAATGTCTCCCATCTCCACAAAAACTTGTCAGATGATCCATCATATAAACCAGATGCAACTAGTAGATCTCTTATGTAAGCTTCTGCTGGATCCTTTGACTCGAATATTTCAGACTCCACATGCTTTGGTTGAATTATTGGCTCCTCCTGCTCATCAGACTCGAGTTGATTTAGTTGCCTCCGTAGCTCTGCGTAACAAACAATTATCAACAAACCTTAGATGGCATTTCAAGTATTGGTTCAAGTTTAGCATTTTCCCCCTAATTTGGTCTCAACACCGACCAAAAAGTTTTAAGTACGTATACTCTCTCCTATATTCTCACTAACTAGTACGGAGTACGGACTGCTTCCAGAAGGTCTAGCAGCCTATATGCATACTTTCCCACGAACTTCCAATAGAACAAACTCGAAAGAAAATGGGAGTTTTACACTTGAAGCATCATTAAAATAGCCTTTGAATTGGTATTGCGAAATTTCAAAGTTATTATAGGCAATGGTATTGGCCTTTACTAAGCTTCCCAATGCAATTATGTCTTTTTGAAATGCACAGGCCATACTTCCATAATCAGCATAAGAGAAAACGTAAATGATTAACGAGTAGAGAAACAAATATCTTAATTACCATTTAGATTAGAGCTGATCTCTCTAAAAACTTGCGGAAGAACATATTCATCACAGGGAGTCACATCTGGTGTTGGTGTTGAGAGAGGGCTAAGATGATCAACTGGCCTCCAGAACTCTTCTTGAGCACTGCTGCACACAGAAGCAGGACTAGGAGGCACCTCAGTAAAGTTCTCCTAAAATCAAACAGTGGGGCGTAAAATGATTAAGATTTGTAAAAGACAAAACAAGCAGTAGAAACTAGATAAATAAAACATAAAATTCATTGATAAAATAAGTGTGTAAGGAAAGATGTAGATGAAACATACCTTTACATATCTCTCACCGAAGTTTGTAACAACTGTTGGACCACTCATGATATCTTTCATAGGATAATGTTCGGGAACATCTGATTCCATCACTGATTGAATCTTCTTTCCAAACAGTCTCCCCCTAAGCAGAAAGCTGTATCTGAAACTGGAAACTTTTTCTTTGAAATTAAACCTTTCTTTCTTCCGTTTCTTTATGTCAACAAATGTATTTGCAGTAGCTTCGTGCTTTCTTCTGATGTGGGCACCAGTCAAAATATGGCGATCCTCAAGAAGAAGTTTTCCAAAAGATGTGCCTGATACTGGGGCTGACAATGACCTGACGAGATTTTTAGGGGACAACTCTCTGTGGAGGAATCCGTCTTCTCCTAGCCCATGCCTGAAGGATCTGGTTTGCATTTCCCACTCATCTTTCAGGATTTCAATGCTGTTCACTTCATTTCCATCCTTTGAAGTATCTCCTGCTTGTTTTTCTCTGACACTTTCACTGTCAAAATCTAACACACTGTATGACCTTGAGTGGCCACCGACAACTCTTCGCATATCCGTTTCTTTCTTTAAAACATTTTTAAGTCTCTCCGACACAAATCTCCTTGTATCTCTACTGACAAACTCTGGAGAACTTGGTCCATTGAACTGAATCTCACTTTTATACGATCTTGTTGATTCAGATCGTGGCAAGTTTGTCCCAATGTCCCTACTCACACTTTCTCTGACCTGTTTCGCTATGTTCTGAGCAATTTGTTTAGGATCTGATGGCTTTTCACTATAAGGGGTCTCAATCCCACTTCCTCGGACAACAGAACCCCTTCTAAGCATTTTCCCTTGCATTTCACATTTCAGCCGTTCTTTCACCTCCTCAAGAAAGTCTTCTATACTACCTCTCTGCTCTAAAGAGCTTGGAGAATTTGTCCATGACTCTCTAGGGTCATAAAGCCTATCAGGACCAGGCTTTAGAATAACTATCCTAGTCGGACCAGAAGGAGCAAAGAGTTTCGAATTAGTGGTACTCATCATGGAGGGTTGCTCAAAGTCTCTGACTGAGGTTCTATTTTTCGATGGAAAATAGTTCCTTTCTTCAAACTGGAATGTTTCTATCTTATCTTCATGATGTTGGAAACCACCTATGTCATGTGCCCTTGCTTTTTGTGTGTGGCCACTAGAATTTACAGGCTTCTCACTTGCTTTTCTTCCCGGTTTTGCATAGAGTTCCATCTTTACCTTGTTGAGGTCCTTTTGAGCAAGCAACTGTGACGGCATGCTTCTGAGTTCGGCGAACTTCGAACACTCCCTGAACCTGGCTGCTTGCCATGCTTCAAATTCTTTCTTAAACTTCTGTAGTTCTTCCTCTTGAGGATGTTCTCGACTCCTCGGTTTCCCTGACTTCTGGCCATTTTTCCATCTACCCGAGTCTCTCTCTCCAACATGGTAAGACAAATCAAGTTTCATCTGCCTAGAAGAGTTTGAGTTAGAAGAGACATGACCAATTAGACCCCTTCCACTTGCCTCCTTGTTCGAACACTTTAATCTCGTGTTGTCATTCTTTTTCTCAATTGGATGAGCTACAGACTTTGCATCTAAAGTTGACGTGTCCATTCCCATTAGCCGGGCGACAATGCTTGGTGCATTTTGTCTTGTACTTGAATGTTTGGAAATTTCCTCGTTAATCAATTTCTTCATTGAAGATTCAAATGGATAGCAATTCTTTCCAGACCAGTTTTCTTCCACCTGATATGAACTGTGAAACTTAATATCAAATTGCATCTAAACGTTGCCAATGTCCAAAAAAGAGAAAAAATGGAAAGCCCCTAAGCTTTTGACTCAACCAGAAAGAATATTCTTTTTCCTGTTTCTTCATTTAGTTTCTTTTTATGTCAATACCAGCAATATAAGCATCGATGCCAATGATTCAAGAGTTTTGCTAAAATAAAGATAAAACCAAGGAAAAAGCTCGAAGCACAAAATGCCTAAGCCAAACGAAAAGAATCCTCTCTTCAATTTAGCAAATCTCCATGCCTAAGAACACAGCCTAAAGAATAAAACAACCTTAAGACACACTAGAAGCTATATGCATGTGATGAAGAATTACCGGCAAATCTCCAACAGGATAGCTCTGAGACGTTTCGATACGCAGCTCGAGGCTATTTCGAGGAGCTTCCAGGCCTGCATGGTATTAGAAACTGGCCTACTTTGTAAGCTGAATAACAAAACAAAATATAATTCAAGCAATTCCCTCATCAGTGTAGTGAAAGTCTAAAAGGAAAATGCACCAACCCTGGTCCGTTTGAACACTTACTAACATTTCACTTTTTTCTTTCTGGATAAAAACTTTAGTGACTAATAATCTACTAGATACTCTTAATCTCTGGTCAACCTAACTTGTTTCTCATCGTACTACAAGAAAAATATCTTTCAAATCACAACTTTATCCTGAAAATGATCAATTCACTATAAACGTTGGATCTTCACAAAATAAGCATAACTACTCTAAAAAATTAAGTCACGCTTTTTAGACCAGGGCCCTTCCTGCTCTGAACACATTTCTTCAGCACAAAGAAAGAACAAAAACTCTTACCATCAACATGTTTCTTGTGTGGAAGAACTTTTCTGGCCATGCTCCTCTTATCGAAATCGAAAAGATGCAACAATCCTCCCATGCAGCCTGCGGATCTACCAAATGCCTTTCATCCTTTGGCACTCCTATATGTCTTACCCCATTAAATTACAGTTTTTTTTTCGTTTCTTTTTTTGGATAATATTCTAGAATCAATCAGCTGGAGTTGATTTCTGACCTGAAAAACCAAAAGATGCCCAAATCTGTATCACTGAAAAAGAGTTATAAAAATTATCAATCATGAACTTTAACGCACAACCATAAATGAATAGTAACAGGATCCTAAAAGATAAACAGATAATGATTTTCTCTTTGTTTCATTTGAGAGCACCACAGAAATGAAGTAGGGACAGCACCTTTTTTCACAAACAAAAAGCAGACGCCAAAGGATAATCAAATAAATGAAGTTGGTTTCTTAGATTAGTTTCTTAAACCAATTGACACATTTTTACATTAAACATTAAATAGAAGTGAAACTACCTAAATATCCAGATTAACCCAGTTATTAGTTTGTTAATTACCATCTTGAAAACCAGAGAGCCATTTTCACATCCCATAGTATCCTATATAAATCTCCCAGAATTCTTCTCTCTCTCTCTCCTTTTTTTTTTTCATATTCTTTCATTTCAGACTTCCCAATTCATTTTATGCACAATAAACTCAGAATTAGTTTCAATAAATTCCGAAAGACAGAAACTTTATTAAAAAAATTTTAATATCATCCTACTAAATCCAGCAACATTCTCATCTTTTATACCCAAAGAAAAAAAGAAAGTTCCAATTTTTATGTGTTATATAAGAGACGAAATTAAATGGCTTCAAAATTGAGTAAAATTTTGAAATTTACTTCAAAGTTTCCAAAATTAAGTGAATTTGAAATCATTAAAAGCTTCACTCGGTGCACGATCCCACAGAACAGGTACAATAAAAGAAGTTGGCTCAACTAAAACCAACACAGAATCAATCGAATTTACACCAAAACTGTTGACGAACCGAAAGAATGCAAAAGCGTAGTACTTGAAATGTCCAAAATTTTCTCACCGTTTCTCAGCAGCCAAACATGCGCATAATTGATCACTGAGAGAAAGCAGAAGCAGAAGAAGAGCTAAAACGGTGGCGTATAAGGAGGAAGAAGACCAGTCAACGGAAAGAGTTGAAGCAGAAATGATCAGAGAGAGAGAGAGCTCGTAACGTTCGTTCATGGGAAGAGAAGATTATATGAATACCAGAGATTTGATTGAAATTATAAATAAAATAAAATTTTTGAAAAAAAAAAAAGGCAAGAATATTTTTTTGTACAGTTGGGACCCTAGTGAGATAATATTTTGTCAATAAATATAAAAGAAAGACTTTATAGTATAGGGATTTAATAATCCAACGACAATAATGCAAACGCCACACCAAAAAGCCACTCCTTTTTTGCTTCCAAAGTTTTGCTTCCACCTTTTTTTTTAATTCCCTTGTTTTTAGTAATCTCTTGTTTTTGAGGGATTTGATTCTGTAGTGAAATTAAATGTGAAATTATTGTTATTATTTTTCTATATCAAATATTTAATTCTGTTATTTTCATAGAGATTTTATGATAGGAAATGAGAAAAATACAATTTGTACTTGTTTAATAATGATATAGTTCAATGTAAGCCATTAATAATGCATCTTTTTACCCCATCAATGAGTTGTTCCCTTTTTTTATGAAAATCAATAAGTTGTTCTCAGATATTCAAGTAATAGCATAGTTTAAGCTTCAAATATTACTTTGTTAATTACTGATTAAAAACGGGTTCTTAAAGTGGGGACAATTCACAAGAATACGTACCATTAAAAAAAATCACAAGATTCACAATGGTACGTTTAAAAAAAAAAAAAAAACTTTCACACAAAATATCTAATTACTAAAAAAGAGGCGACATAACATAATATATGTATCCAAGAAAAATGGTTAGCACCAAATTAGAAGGACCGGCAATATGGGTTACGACACGACAATATGTTTCGAAAACGATATGAATTGCCCGGATTAAGGTTGAGAAAAAAGATGTTCGGGTCAGAATTGAATCGACCTAAAATTGACACGAAAACACATGTCAATTTCAGGTTGTACCCGTCTAATCCGAACACAACATGAAACTCGTAAAAAACTAAAAAATACATATATTTTTCATTACATATATTTTTATTTTATTATGAACTTGTGATAGCATGATTGCTATACTCAAAATCTTATACTATTATTTGCTTAATTTTAATGGATGTTATTGTATTTTAGTGTGTTATGAATTTGAAGTTATTTCTAATATGTAAAAAACTAAATAAAAGAATACAATTTTCGTGTCAGTTTCAGGTTCACGGGTCATTTTCGTGTCATGTCGTCTCAATCCGTAAAGTGATCATGTCATGTTATGATTTTTAAAAAATTTTGGGTCACGGGTCGTATTCGAGTTTACTATAAATTTTTAAAAAAATAATCAAAACACGATACGAACACGATAAGTGACACGAATTACCACCCCTACAAACTAGTAAATGCACAAGAATGAATGTCAAGAAGAGTCTTGACAATTTTAATACCCTTTTATATATTACAACGTTAATGTTAATAATAGGTACCCAAAATAAGAAAAATTTATTTTATTTTATTTTATTTTATTTTGTTGTGCTTCTTCTTCTTATGGTGTATTTGAAGGTCAGTGTCTTGTGTGTACCTCTTAAAGCCCCACCTAACCATTTTGCATTTTATCCTCTACAGCAAATTTGAATGTAATATTCACTTTCTCAGTCATTCTATAATTGGGTCATTGGAAAAAGAAAAAGAAAAAAAAAAACACTACAATTGGGTCATTAAAAAAGAGTCTATAATTAAACTACCAAATTACCAATCATTTTCTTTTTAAATAGGATAGTAAAAAAAACAAAAAACAAAAACAAAAAGGTGGGACAGCTCAGAAATAGTTACTTTCAGGGACAGCATAGTATATTTACCACTGCGCCTCCAATTGGCGCCATATTATACGCCTATAACCTCGTGCTTTAATAATAATTAATATTTCCGCTAATTATTTTTCAATTATTATAACAGCAATTAACATTCCATCCTCTTTATTTAAAAAGATAAAATCTTATTAATATTCCATTCTAATTCTTGTTGCGGCATACGCGCCATGACAAACCCGGCCTTCCTTTCTGGAACTGTCTAATATCTTGCGTCGGGATGTACGTGCCTTTCACGCGTACTACGAGGCGCGTCAAATGGTTCTCAGTGACAACGTGTACGCTGTCATTTGATACATTCAGAAAAGATTCTCTTGCTTTGACTTTTTCCGCGCCGTTACTAAAATAACTCTCAGAATTATTTTTTTTCCTCCAAAAATTAGATTAAATTAATTTGTTCGCAACTCCAACGATACTTGATGAATATTCCACTTTCTAAAACTCCACAAGCATCACTTTTATTTTAAAAATATCGCTTTTTTTTTTCTTGGCCGTATTGTGTAAAAGAATTTTCCTCTTAATTGAGATTGAAAAAAAAAAAAAAAAAAAACTAGAAGCAAAAAGAATGTGCTTCTTCTACTGTACTGCTTCTCAGATCTTTGTTTTGTTTCATGTTTTATTTGCTTCATAATTTAATGCATATATGTATGTACATGTATGCTCCTAGGAGGTGTGAAGCCTCATCTTGGGACATATATAATATATTCTCCATATTTTATCATAAAAATGCTCGACAGGTGCATAAATTTTCAAAAATATGTATATTTATATATTTTTCCTTAAGATGAAAAAAGAAAAGAAAAGAAAAGAATATAATTGAGAGAGATAGAATATGTGTGAGTCTTAGCCTTAACCTAAAGGAAGGGGGCGTGGTTCCCCATGAAAAGAAAAAGGTAGTAAGAGGGAGTTGTGTTATGAATGAATATGATCCCTACATGTTTATACATATATATACATATATATATATATATATATATATATACAAAATAATACAACTCATGAAGTTGATGGCTTAGGTGGGTCTAAGGTTGTAAAGTCGTATGTTGCTTTTTTGAACAATGATGATGCATAGAGCGTTTCTCATGTGCCCTTCTAAGTTCTAACCTCAACTTATGTTACTTGTATCATTTCCAGCGTCATTCTGCGTGACTCCATTATTACAACGGGTACTGGGGCATCCTTTTCATACTTAATATATAGTCTTATAATATATAATTATATATTACATATACATATATAATGTCCGCAACATATTAATCACCATCAGTGATACAACAAAATTCTACAAATGAAATGTATAACTTGATAATTTACTTTTTACCATGTAGAAGTACTTTCACATAATATATATATATATATATATAAAACATAACTTGATATTTATTCAATATAACATTAATATTGTAGAAGCATATCAACATTTTACGTTAAATGAAAGTACGAGTTCTCTATATATATAGAAAATGTCTATATCAACATTTTACAAGGTACGAGTTCTCTATATATCAAAATTTTTTGTTCATCTGTGTAACATTATTTGTGCATTCATGTTAAACATTTGTCTAAGTATAACACTTAATAAAATAGAATCTACCACGATATCACAAATAATTTACTTTAATGTTATCACATCATATCGAAAAGTGACAAGCTCATGATGTGAAAAATGTTACACCTGTTGTAATGTATGACCTGTAGACTTGAGAACGTGTGTGTGTGTGTGTGTGTGTGTGTGTATATATATATATATATATATATATATAAATGTATGTATCTATAGCCTTCCCCGCCTGCCGCTCTTAGATTTTTTGGAGGGGAGAGAGAGAGTTTGTTATTCCTATTCTTACTGCTTTTGGGCGGCTTTTTCTTTGCTGTTAGGGAGCTTGTGCTCAACTCTAGTGGGTCATGTGTCGGCGCAAGTGGGTCAACTTTTGGATTTTATCCTTTTTCCTTCTTTTCTAAAACAGGCACAACAGCAAACCTCACATTACACCATGTACTTGGGCTCGTGGCCCAGAATCCGTCGCATCTAAAATGGACCCAAGTCCACAGGCCGATATATAAGCATTACAAACAACTTGCTGGCGGCCAACGATAATATCTAAATTCGGCCCAATAGCAATTGCTTCTCCATGGACAACTAATTGTCTACTTGTAGTTGTAGAGATGAAGCAAGAATGGAGAAACTATCTTCTAGGATGCCCGTATTGGTAAAATTCTTTCACTTCATTTCCTTTTCTGCAAATGCTTTTTTTTTTTTAAATAAATAAATAAATAAATAATCTTTTCTGCTTTCCTTGTGTGACAGCTTGCACACCTGTTGTTTACACTAAAATGGTCCTGTGATTTGGCTCATTATTGCAAACAATTACCGGATTATTTGCAAATCTATTAAATGAGTTAACTAATAAATAAAAAGCCAAAATAGAAAATATATTAGCAAAAACGGAAATTTTGGAAAAAGGGCCAAATTAATAGGTTCTTCTGTGTATCTTTATTGTTGATTTGTAATTCTAAACGCTACATTTAGATCATATTCATGTTAGAATAAACAATAATATAAACTAACTTTAAAAAAAAATTGATTAAATCTAATATATATATATATATATAGTGCATTCAATATATAATAAATTCTCAAAAATAATAAATGGAAAAATGAGAAAAAGAAAGAAAAGTAGAGTCCTTTAGATGTGGCCACGTGGTTCCTGAAGATGATCGGAGAACGCATAAAGTCCCACACTGGCATCTAGTTGCCAGGTGTGATGATTTAACTGGTAAAGAGAAAGGGTCACAATCGTGAATTCACATCCCCAAAAGGCCTACCTCATAGCTGTTAGTTTCCAATTGGGTACGTAACGTTTAGGTTTTGGCCCTTTGGGCTTTTAGAAAAGGAGTAAACAAAAGAAAGAAAGGAAATACTACGGTCAGCAATATGGATCACGATACGATTTAAAAACGACACAAAATTTATGAGTTAGGATTAAAAAAAAAGTGGTTCAGGTCAGAATTGAGTTAGCTTAAAATTGACACGAAAAACACGAATCAATTTCAGGTTAGACCCGCCTAACCCGAATACGACACGAAACTCATAAAAAATTAAAAAATACATATATGTTTCATTTCATATTTTAAATTTTATTATCAACTTATGATATCATGATAGTTAAGTTATACTTAAAATCTTATACTATTATTTGCTTAATTTTGATAGATGTTATTGTAATTTAGTGTGTTATGAATTTTAAGTTATTTCTAATATGTAAAAAACTAAATAAAAGTATACAATTTTCGTGTCAATTTCAGATTCACGGGTCATTTTCAGGTCGTGTCATGTCAACTCGTAAAGTGGTCGTGTCGTGTTCGTATTGCGGTTTTTTAAAAATTTCGTGTCACAGATCGTATTCAGGTTGACTACGAATTTAAAAAGAAATTATCAAAATACGATACAAACACGATACGTGATACGAATTATCACCCTTAAAAAAACCAAGAATCACCTTATTGAAATAAAAAAGAAAAAAAAAAGGAAAACCAAGTTAAAGTGTGTCAAAACAAAGTAATCAAATATTGTTTGATCACCTAATCACCCTCCACGTGTATCCATTTTGTAATCCTAACCCTTCATTGTCTTCACTAATGAAACCGCTGATCTTGTCCTTGTCCTGATCTACTTAACTATATATATAACAAACTGAAAGAAACCGCTACTTTCACTCGCTACTCTTTACTCAATTAACATACAAAAAAGAAAAGAAAAGAAAAGAAAAGAAAAGAAAAGAAAAGAAAAAAATCTCTCTCTCTCTCGCTCTCGGTGGTCGGTTATATCAAAGCAGAGTTTGGCCTATATTTTACCAGGTCTCGTTCATCGTCATCATCATCATCAAAAAGAAAAGAAAAGAAAAAATGTTTGTGAAGAAGCTCGTGGAGAAAGCTTCCATTAAGAAGGTATGGATTTTCTTTCTATCAATCTCATATATGTATAGATCTTTTGAATTATATACACATATGTATTTTGTTTTCTCCGAGGACATGGTGAAAGCAAATTAAACCAGCAGCACTCGAGACTTTAAGAAATGATTCTCTTTTTCTTATTAATCATTCATTAATTTGTATTATTTGTGATCTTTTTTTTCTTTTTCTATTGTCCTAACACATGGATCTTTGTTTCCAAGATTTTAATCCGATTAAAACAGTTTTTACTTTCTAATTAGTCGAGAACAAGTTTTACCCTTGTTTGTCAGAATTAGGCTTCTCCTCATAATGTCTGATTTTTGGGTGAAGGTGACCCCATTACATATATATATATATATAGTATGCAACGGCTCACTAATATCCTTTCCTTCCTGCAAGTAAATGAAAGTAACGATTAATTAGAATTTAAAGATGATAACGAAAGTCATTGATTCACTTGTCGTTTTTCACATAAATAATTGGAAATAAGATCATTTCAGAATTTGCTTGACTATGAAAGTGAAAACCCAGTTATGTATTATCATCCAGTTTCCGTCCTTAAATCTTTTCGATAATTATGGATAACAATATATATATATATATATATATATATATATATATATATTATCTAATACACACGCACTCGTATACAAAAGGAGATGCCTTGTCTGGTAGATTGGCATGTACCATTTACAGAGGGCAAACATTGTTAATTAATGAGTATTTTAATGTTGGAGTTTGTCTCTATTCAAGTGTAATTATATGTGTGTATATATAGTGCAAATTTGTATTTATTGTGAGATGAAATAAAGGGGCATTAAAGGATCCAAGAAACAATACTTTGAAGTTAGAGCCTTCTCCTTTTTTATTTATCCATTATATTTCAAAAATATGATAAGAAAGAAAGAGTGACAAAATTAAGCAATTAATATGCATCTCTACAATAAAGTTGGATGGAGGTATTGCAATAGATATATATTTTTTTTTTCTTCCTTTTGAGAAAAACTAACGGATTTTCATATACTTAGGATACTCTAAATTATAAAATATAGTGGCCCAGTCAGATTTTTTTTTTTCCCAATGAGGAATCAATTTAAATAATTTTATTGCTTACGTTTTGCTTCTCTCTCTTGTTTTATATATTGTTTTCCCTTCAAATAGATGAAATATACAATTGAGTTAGATTGAATCCCTAAATTTTGGGTTCAACAACTACGTTTACAAATTTCAATAGCGTGTCCATTATGTTGTGGGCATAGATATAATTTATAGTTTTTTTTTTTATTTTGTCTTGTGGGAGCTTAACTGAATTTAAAATAAAATGTGTACTGAAATTAATTAAAAATGTATAAGACACGTGTCCCACTAATTACACACACTTGGGGATAGTAAGAAAGGGTGGATATATATTTTATGATGTTGTTTACTTACTTTTAATTAAGATGGATATCGGCTACCTCTTCTCCTTCATTTGTTATATATACTTATATTACAAGTTTCTTGCTCTTTTCATCGTACTCAACGGTGATTAATTATATCATATGCTATGATATGATGCCTCGTAGATATAAGAATTCAATTAGATGCTTAATTATCTTCTTGTCTTTCTTTTTGACTCATTCCTCTCCTCAATTATCAAACGCTAATTGGACCAAATAAAGATGCCTTCTTTCTGCTTGCTTTAACTCATCATCACTATTTTAAGAATATAAACACATTTTTCTTCTTCTTCTAATAAAATACAAATCTTTTTATACCGTTCAGTCCATCTAAATTTCTACCACATGGATTTATTAAGCTATATGAGAACCTTTCTTATCCTCAACGGTCGCTAACACGATATGATGATGGTAAATCAAATTAAAGCGAATGATTGAAAAAAAAAAAAAAAAAAAAAAAAAAAAAAAAA